CCCCCGGACCGGACCCCCGGACCGGACCCCCGGACCGGACCCCCGGACCGGACCCCCGGACCGCTCCGGTCGGCCCCCGGTCGGCCCCCGGTCGGCCCCCGGTCGGCCCCCGGTCGGCCCCCGGTCGGCCCCCGGTCGGCCCCCGGTCGGCCCCCGGTCGTCCCCCGGTCGGCCCCCGGTCGGCCCCCGGTCGGCCCCCGGTCGGCCCCCGGTCGGCCCCCGGTCGGCCCCTGGTCGGCCCCCCGGTCCCCCCGGTCGGCCCCCGGTCCCCCCTCACTCAGTCCCCCCTCACTCTCCCTCTCTCTCCTCCCTCTCACCCTCCCTCACTCTCCCTCTCTCTCTCTCTATCCTCCCCCCTCTCTCTCCCCTTTACCTTAAGAAAAAAAACAAAAAAAATTAGAAAAAAATATATTAGAAAAACTTTACTCAAGTAGCAGTAATACCGTAAGAAGTTTTATTGAGAAGACGACCGTTCTTGACGCGCCATGTTTGTTCTGGATCTTCACACCATCAGCGAGCGACAGGAACCACCTGTTTTCACAGACAAACAAATCAATGATCAGTTCTACAGATTCCAGCTATAACGAGAGAAAGTTTGAATCAATAAATAATAATACTCGAATAACTGAGTCAAAAACAAAAATACTGATGAAAGCGAATTAATTAAAACCAAAACCCAAATTTTACAAAATCAAAATAGAATCCATAGCTAGAATTCATAAATAGAGTTGAGTAATAATCAGATCTATTAAATAGAAATAAAAAAAGGGGAGGGATGTATTAATAAAAGCAAAGAAAATACATATCTTTGTTTGTTCTTCTGTGTCGCCATATTCGCTTGCTCTCTAACTACAGATTCTTAATTACTCTTTTTTTTTTTGTTTTGTCTTTGGTAAGAAAGATTCTCTGTCTGAGAGAGATTTAATTGTAATGAAAAAGGGGAAGTCAAATGAAAGCGCTTGTCTTATTTTAAAGAAGAGGAGAAGCCAACAACAACGGCTCGATTACAACGGTCATATATTCGTAGCCGTTGGATGACATGGTTTGATATTTAACGGCAGATAGATCACGAGAGGATTTTAGTAGTCAGCGTACAAGCTAGGTGTTCAACGACTCCGAAAACCCATGTTCGACAAGGCCAGGCCCGGCTCATTAAATTTATGGGCCTTGTGCTGAAAATTTGTTTTCACCTAAACTGTTGCTGTACTATTACGAATTTGAAAACCTAATTTATATGTTATTATGAATTTGAAAAATTGAACCCTAACTTATATGTTTTCCTAACAACACAGGGCTCTATTTACTTAAAAAATATTTTTTTTTAAAAAGTTTACCTAGTGCCAGAGAAGACTCTTAAGTTCTGGCGCATGCAACACCAAGGCATTTCTATGGGGGTGATTTGGAACCATTGTTTGATCGATAAACCACTCTGACTCACGACTCTTCTTTCTAGAGTAACAACAATTTCCGAGACTGCATTGAAAGTTCTTTGTAAACGAGATAAGCTTGTAAGAATTCTAGGCTTTGATCAAAAGATACACATGTACTCTAATGAAATTGATTGTCAATTAATATTATTTATATCTAAGGCTTGTTCTCTTCTTCTTTGTGGATGCATGCATGAAGACTCTTGAGCAAATGCGATGAACGCATCAAGAACACTCGAGGTGATTTCCATTTCTCCATTTTTTTGGTTTCTACATGAACTTGAATGCATATCTTTGCTAAGAGTCTCGCTCTATGAATTTCCCAAACATTTAGAAGCTCTAAATATTTGAACTTATATTTTGTTCTTTTTGTTCTGAACTCTACTACGTTGATCAGAAGAGCTTAAAAACACAATTATAGTGCCTTGTTTAGTAGATATTATAGCCTTTTCAGGCTTCCCAGCTTTAGGCTGTTATGTCAATCTCAAAATCAAATTAAAAGACTCATATCTATCAATCATTTCGGAATCTTTAAATAAAGAAAAGAGCAATGTACTGTACAAGACTGAAACTCCCTAGATACCCTTTCAAGATATACAAAATTACAGTTAAACCAAATGTAAAAATCATTTGGAGCCTTTTCGAATTTCCAAGAAAAAAAGAAGAAGGAACAAACATCTTCTACTGCTTGTTCTTTTCCCCGTTATGCTACTAGGGTTTCCCTTTCCCGGTAAAGCTCCTCACATTGAGTTGTGTTAATGCATGTTGTGTTCTCCCTCAGGTACCAAGAAGATGAAGGTTAATAGAATTCCAGCTTCTGTCTCTTCTCCTCAGCCTAATCTAAACCCTGAGGAGCTACAAGCGACTCTTCTTTCTAGAGCAACATCACTTTCAGAAACTGCATTAAAAGTTCTACTCTGTAAACGAGATAAACTTGTAAGAACTCTAAACTTTGATCAAAGATTGATTGTCAATAGCATCATCTAAGGTTTGCCTCTCTTGTTCTTTGTGGATGTAGACTCTTGAGCAGCGGTCAATAGAAGACGAGATTGCTATATACGATGAACGCATCAAGAACATCAAAGGTATACTTTCCCTTTTCTGTTGCTACATGAACTAGAGATGTTACCTATGGGGGTTATATATATATATATATATATATATATAGGTGATTGTGAGTTGCAACTAGAGATAATACTAGAGAGCTGTAACGAGAGTATCAATCTACCAAAAGTATGTGTCAGGTAAGTCTTTTTGAGAAACTCTTGAGTCTTGATATCATTGCATGTTGAAATAGAAAGATTCGTTTCTCTTAATTTATTGCAGAAACTTGATGATATTTGTATCAAGAATAACTGGGTACTACCAAGCTATCACCTGTCTCTATCAGATGGTAACTTTTTGATCAGACCATATCTTGCAAATCCATACTTCAGCTATTAATTTACATGTTGATGTTGTTGCTTTGTCCGAGCCAGGTGGGTTTATAGCTGAAGCAAGAATAAAGGAGACTCAGTTCTCGCACACAATCTGTGGAGAGGAAAAGTCTGATGCTGAGGAAGCTAGGGATCCGCAGCAGTTTGCTTGCTTGCTACATACGTTACACCACAACACAACAACAGCAGCCAACGATCTCGTAGCAGAGGCCCTTTGAGGTTCAGGCATATCATTGCTGTGTTTAGTTCGGTGTATTGCAGAAACTTTTTATTCGGTGTTTAGTTCTTCATGATCTTTCTAAGTAGTTGTGTCCAATTCGGTATGGTCTAAACCAATATGCATGGAGACAAAACCTAAGAAATGATTTTAGGTCGCATAAATGTATGGTAAAATAACAATCTCAAACTGCACCTGTAAACAGAAAGTACACAGACACCATAAAATTCTCTTGTAATAAATTATAACAATCGTTAGCATTAAGTGAAAAGCAGTGTACACTAGTGTAAGCTTTGTTATCCCTCTGTACTCTATTGTTTGATCATAATGTCATGAATTAAAATAACCATCTCCTTACTCGTGTACGGGTTGGATCCCATCCGACAACAAAGATGAATATCAGCAGCATTGGTGTTTTCACCACCACTATCTTACACCACGTTCTTCACAAACAGTATCACCATTGATCTTCTCAAGAAAAGTAGTAAAGAGATTAAGACACATGTCTTCAGAACTCTGTGAAACACACCCACTTAACTAGAGAAACAACAATTATATATACACTATTTGCGTCGATCAAAAAGAAAAAATGTACATTCTTTGCAAGGAATAAACTCCCCGAAATACCCTCAAAAGAGACGCAATATTACATTGAAACCACTCTAGTATTGGCGCCTTTTCGAATTTCTTTCAATATAATTTAACACAAAAAAAAAGTATAATTGTATTAACACACATGAAGTCTTTGTGATCTTCTTCCTCTTTCTCCTTGTTGTCTGTATCTTCCTTCTGCCTATAAGTAAGTACAAAGCTGACTCTAAAATTTTCAACTCTCTTCTCATTTTACCCAAAATAGCAAATTAGGGGAAACTTCATTACATAGCCTAGAAAGGGTTTCCTTTTCCGGTAAAGTTCGTCACTTTCTCTCCTCTCCGTTTCCATCAAAATTAACATAAAAGATCAAAACTTTATCTTCTCTCTTTGGTTTCTGTGTATCTTTTCGCTTAGGGATTGAGATTATGGAGGAGGTAAACTGCTCCTTACCTGTCACTAAGCCCACCTCGGATGCTTGTCCAACAGAGGACGCCATTAGAGCTCTGTTAGAGAACTTAGTCGACCCTTTACTTCCACTTAAGCCTTCACCAAGTGATGTTCCTTCCAAGGCTCTCCGTGAATCTGTGGCTAAACAGGTGAGTTCAAAATCTCTAATTTCGGCATATAAGCCAACAAAGATTGTGTCTTTTTGGAGTTTTAACCTTAATTTGTGTTGGTGTTGATTTCAGGTTCATGCTGTTGTGCTGTTGTACAATTACTACCACAGAAGAGAGCATCCTCATCTTGAATGCTTGACTTTTGAGTCTTTCCGTAGCTTGGCTACTGTTATGAGACCTGCTCTGCTGCCTCATTTTAAGGAATCTGAAGAAGATGGAGTTTTGGAGAAGGTTATTGTGGATGCATGTAGCTTATCCAATAGCTTCAATAGCTTGGGTGCGTCTTCGGATTTTTCAAGCTTGAAGATGTGGCCCATAAGGAAAGTTGCAGTCTTGTTAGTGGATTCGAAGAAGAGTTGTTGTTATCTTCAACACAGTTCCATCACACAAGGTGTGTGGTCACTACTTGAGAAAACTGCTGCTGCTGAAGGCCAGAATGAAGAGGCAATGTTTCAAAAAGTTGCATTTGATGCTATAGAGGAGGCCACTGGTTAGTAAGAGAGGTTAATCATATGGTTACTGTGTAGTTGCATTGTTGCTGGAACATGCTTATCAGTATTGGATTTTTTTTTCCAGGTGTTAATTACAAAGACATTGTGATCTTGGAGAGGCATTTGGTACATTCCTTGAGTGAGGAGAAGACAGCGACCCAGTTTTACATAATTAAGTGCACTTCAGAAGACAAGTTTTCTGGAGAGTTCCCTGTGGAAGAAGCACTTAACTGGTAAGTAGATTTTGGCATTGTAAGGAAAGGCTCTAGCTGCAACATATATGTCAACTTTAAAGGAACTTCTATATTCACTTACAAAAATGATTTCAGTATTTAAAGATTTGAGTTATAAGCTGGCCAGATTGTCTCTTGAACTCGCTTTACTTCATTAGTTGGATGATTGGATAATACTGTATTATTTGTGTAAGTACAGAGAGGTATTGATATTCCTAATCAGATTCTTTTGCTCTTTAAATAGCATGCAAGGTCCTTTATTTGAGAAGAATTTCTCTGAATGGTCCACCAATTCCATAGTTGAATACTTTCATGTTCTCCCATATGCCAATCTTATAGCAGACTGGTTTTCCAGGTATATGTGCCACCTTTTGTCTTTACAAATTGTTATTCTTTGCATCCGTTCTGCATTTGTTTTGCACCTCTCTTGATTCTATTTTTCTTTTCCAGGCGAGAAGACGCTGAGTTTGTGATAGAGAAAGAAGCACAAGCTGTGTGTGATGAGATTGAAAGCAATGGAAAGGCAGATGAGTCGGATATTTGTCCCACAGAAGACGCCGTTAGAGCTTTGTTAGAGACATTAGTCGACCCTTTGCTTCCACTGAAACCTTCTCCAACTGATGTTCCTTCTAAGGATGTCCGAGAATCTGTGGCTAAACAGGTGATTCTATAGTCCCTCAATCTCTTGGTGGACTTGAGAATTTCTATTTAGACATCTAAATAGACAATGCTGTGTCTTATAGAATTCTTTTTTTAACCTTGATTTCTGTTTTTTGTAAATGGTTTTGATTCAGGTTCATGCCGTTGTGCTGTTGTACAATTATTACCACCGAAAAGAGCATCCTCATCTTGAATGCTTGTCTTCTGAGTCTTTCCGTAGCTTGACTACTGTTATAAGGCCTGCTCTCTTGCCCCATTTTAAGGAATCTGGAGATGGAGTTTTGGAACAAACTGTATTGCTAGAGAAGGTTGTAGTGGATGCATGCAGCTTATCTGATAGCTTGGGTGCGTCTTCGGATATTTCCAGCTTAAAGAAGTGGCCCATAAGTAAAGTTGCAGTCTTGTTAGTTGACTCAAAGAAGACTTGTTGTTATCTTCAACACAGTTCCATCACACAGGGTGTGTGGTCACTACTTGAAAAACCCATCGAAAGAGAGATAACTTCTGCTGCTGGAGGCCAAAATGAAGAGGCCATCTTTCAAAAGGTTGCATTTTCTGCTATAGAGGAAGCCACTGGTTAGTAAGAAAGTTTAATCTTATGGTTACTGTAGTTGCATTATTGCTGGAAGTTCCTTAAGTATTTTGAATCTTTTCAGGTATTAATCACAAAGACATTGTGATCTTGGAGAGGCATTTGGTACAATCCTTGAGTGAAGAGAAGACAACTACCCAGTTTTACATAATGAAATGCAGCTCAGAAGACAAATTTTGTGGAGAGTTCTCTGTTGATGAAGCACTTAACTGGTAAGTAGGTTTTGGCACTATTAAGGAAAGGCTCTAGCTGCAAAATAAATGTCAGCTTTAAAGGAACTTATATATTGTTTTAAAAATTGATTTCAATATGTAAAGAGTGGCTCATAAGTTTAGCAAAATGGTCTCTTGAACTTGCTTTACTTGATTAGTTGAATGATTGGATAATATTATATTATTATCTTCCTAATCAGCTTCTTTTGCTCTACTCTGCATGAATAGCATGCAAGGTCCTTTATTTGAGAAGAGCTTCTCCGAATGGTCTACGAATTCTATAGTGGAATACTTTCATGTTCTTCCATATGCCAGTCTTATAACAGATTGGTTTTCCAGGTAAATGTGTACCCTTTTGTCTTTACAAATTGTTATTCTTTGCGTCAGTTCTGAGTTCGTTTTGCACCTCTCTTGAATCTGTTTTTTTAGGCGAGAAGACGCTGAATTTGTGATAGAGAAAGAAGCAGAAGCTGTATGTGATGTGATCGAAAGCAATGGAAAGGCCGATGAGTCGGATATTTGTCCTACAGAGGGCGCCATTAGAGCTTTGTTAGAGAACTTAGTCGACCCTTTGCTTCCACATAAACCTTCTCCAACTGATGTTCCTTCCAAGGCTGTCCGTGAATCTGTGGCTACACAGGTGGTTCTAAAGTCCCTCAGTCTCTTGGTGGACTACAAAACCTCCAATTAAATATCAAAGAACAATTTTGTGTCTTTTAGAGTCCTTTTTTTTTTCAACATTGATTCCTGTTTTTGCAAATGGTGTTGATTCAGGTTCATGCTGTTGTGGTTTTGTACAATTATTACCACAGAAGAGAGCATCCTCATCTGGAATGCTTGTCTTTAGAGTCTTTCCGTAGCTTGGCTACTGTTATGAGGCCTGCTCTCCTGCCTCATTTTAAGGAATCTGGAGATGGAGCTGTATTGCTGGAGAAGGTTATTGTGAATGCATGCAGCTTATCCATTAGCTTAGAGGCGTCTTCAGATTTTTCCAGCTTGAAGAAGTGGCCCATAAAGAAAGTTGCAGTCCTGTTAGTTGACTCAAAGAAGACTTGTTGTTATCTTGAACACAGTTCCATCACACAAGGTGTGTGGTCACTACTTGAGAAAACTGCTGCTGCTGAAGGCCAGAATGAAGAGGCTATCTTTCAAAAAATTGCATTTGCAGCTATTAAGGAGGCCACAGGTTAGTAAGAGAGGTTAATTAATCATATGGTAGTTGCATTATTGCTGGAAGTTACTAGCAGTCTTTTTCAGGTATTAAGCACAAAGATGTTGTGATCTTGGAGAGGCATTTGGTTCACTCCTTGAGTGAAGAGAAGACAACGGCCAAGTTTTACATAATGAAGTGCACTTCACAAGACAAATTTGCTGGAGAATTCCCTGTGGAAGAAGCACTTAACTGGTAAGTAGATTATGACATTGTAAGGAAAGGCTCTAGCTGCAACATATATGTCAGCTTTAAAGGAAGTTACAAATTCATTTTAAAAAAAATGATTTCATATTTAAAGATTTGACTCATTAAGTTTGGCAAGACGGTCTCTTGAACTCGCTTTACTTCATTAGTTTAATATCTTACTAATCCGCTTGTTTTGCTCTTCTCTATACGAATAGCATGCAAGGTCCTTTATTTGAGAAGAGTTTCTCTGTCTCTGAATGGTCTACGAGTTTCATAGTTGAATACTTTCATGTTCTCCCATACGCCAGTCTTGTAGCAGACTGGTTTTCCAGGTATATGTGCCACCTTTTGTCTTTACAAATTGTTATTCTTTGCATCAGTTCTGAGTGTCATTAAGGAGTAGCAATGTTAAATTGATTTTTTTTTTTTCCTAGGCGAGAAGACACGGAGTTTGTGATAGAGAAAGAAGCAGAAGCTGTATGTGATGAGTTTGAAAGCAATGGAAAGGCAGATGAGTCTGATATTTTCGACACTCCTGCAAAAAGGAGTAATGATACTAATGTATGTATTGGTATTGATAAATTGTGTTTAAGAAAAAGGGCTTCTAAAGAAGTAACTTAGACATTTAAAATTGCAGGCTAGAAAAGATGCCGGTCCACGTAGCAGTCCTAAAGTTAGAAAAAAAGTTGCTCCCAAGACGTATTCTCGTATATTGAGAGGAAGAATAGTTCCTGCAGTGGAACCCCAGGTTGAGAGATTGAAGGCTAAGAATGCAGATAATGAAATGAGCCCTTGTAAGGAGAGCTACCCGAATGGAGAGAGAGGTGGTTGTGAGGTGAAGTCTGAAACCTACAGTTTTAACTGGTCATTCCTCAATGCTGTCTTCAAGTATTCTTCATCACCTTTTTGTGAATGCAGGTTGGGTCTGGTTCAAATTATCATAGAGAAAGAGATAACCAGAGGAAGAAAGCTGTTACTGACAAACTAAAGAGCATTCTTAGGGTTAATGCATCATCTCCTGTTTCTGCTCATGACTCTAACCTTAACCTTGAGGAGCTACAAACTACTCTTCTTTCTAAAGCAACATCTCTATCTGAAACTGCTTTGAAAGTTCTTCATTGCAAACGAGATAAGCTGGTAATAACTGCTGAATTTGATCAAAGATTCACAATACATTAAAGAAACTGATTGTCTATATGGCTTATATTCTTATTTTAGTACCTAATAGTTGCTCTCTTCTTCTTTGGATCCAGACTCTTCAACAGCGAGACATAGAAGACGAGATTGCTGAATGTGATAAACGCATCAAGAACATCAGTGGTATGTATGTATATACTTCCCTTTTTGCCATAGCTTTGTTTTTGCATGAGCTTTTGAATGCTTATCATGGTTGCTGTATAGGTAATTGGGAGCTGCAGCTAGAAACAATACTCGAGACCTGTAACGAGACATACTCGAGGCGCATCATTCAAGAATCTCATGACAAGTCAGCATGTCAAAGCAACAAGAGGATGAAGCTCTCTGAACCTACCAAAAGTATGTGTCAGGTAACTATTTGGTAAACTCTCTAGTCTTTTGATCATTTCAGTTTCAAATAAAAAAATTCATTTCCCCTTTGCAGAAACTCGATGATATCTGTCTTGAGAATAACTGGGTACTCCCAAATTATCGTGTGTCTTCAACAGATGGTAAAGATTTTTGAGCTCATATGTGAACTTCTTAGTCCAGCCCCTTTACTAACGTGGATGTTGTTGCTTTGTCCAATAACAGGTGGGTATGAAGCTGAAGTAAGAATAAAGGAGACTCACTTTCCGCATACAATCTGTGGAGATGAGAAGTCTGATGCTGAGGAAGCTAGAGAATCTGCTGCGGCTTGCTTGCTAAGTAGGTTACACCACAACACTAGACAACAGCCATCAACTTCTCGTCATGATTGAGTGAGATCCAAGAGCAAGTCACTAACTTCCAACATGAGTAGAAAAGGTTGTAAAGTTCACTAGTTCTGCAGTTACATCATCTTTGCAAGTAGTTTTGTCTTAAGCTGGCTTTTGAACCTGTTTTTAGATATTAAGGGGGTGTTAGTGGGAGTTATATTTATATAGAGTTTGTTGATTTTAAAAGTTGATGGATTTGTTAAATTTGGAAAGAGTTGTAGAGAGTTTTGTATATTGTAAAAGTTTGTGAAAATAAATTGATATAATGATTCTAAGAATCTAAAGTATATAGGTAGTATTCTCAAAATCTTGTGTTATGAGTTAAATGACAAAGAATACAACTCCCAATAACACCAACTTTAATAGATTTAAAGAATCATTAAAATTTAAACTTTTTGAATAACAATGGATTGTGCATAGAGTTACTAAATCATCAAACCAATAACACTAAACTTTAATAAGAATCTAACAATCTATAAACCAATAACACTAAATTCTAAAATTCTGAGAATCATTATAAATTTTAGTCCCACTAACACCCCCTAAGGTGTATGTTTAACTTTACAAGAAGATTCTACTGATTAACTACTTTTTGTTCGTTGCAAATTTTCTAGTCAGACAAAATCCGGCTTTAAAATATTAAAAAAAAACTTTGGTTCCTTTCATTCTTTTCTTAACAAATCTATATTAACCTAGTGACGATATAAGAAAAAGTTTAGCCTCAGAAATTCGCCTTGTGCTGAGCGAATTCCGATAAAAATCTCAAAATTGAATGCTTAGGGCTTTGATCATCACCAAGCCCTTTGTCCAAAGTCTCAAGAACACCCTTCATGATTCGAGTATAAACCCTCTCCATCTGTGGGATGCTGTAATTCTCAGTACGCTCCATGAGCACTCCCTTTACAGATTCTATCTCGTTTGAAATTTCTTCGTCTGACTTCACTGAATCTCGAGAACAGTCACCACTCACTTCTTCCCCACAAGGCTCCTCCTCTTTTCTCGGTGTCTGTTCGCTTTCATCTTCTTTATCACCATCTGCTGAACAAGGAGCTGATGAGTTTGAATTGCCTGCTTCCACAGATGTCATCTCTATGTCTGGATCTTGGTTTTGTGGTTTGTCTGCAGCAGAATCTGTTCATCCAACATAAACAAGTTTTGAGAAGCCTCATTCACACGTAAAACAAGAACCAACTATGCTTTTGCAGTGACATAATACCTGTGCAGACAGCATCAGCTGTTTTCTTGGGCTTTTTAAGACCTTCATAATCTCGATCTACATTGACCTCTGGTTGCAGATTTCGAAGTCGGGCACTTGATCTAGTAACAGTACCTATCTGCACCACAGGAGCTAAACCAAGGATAGATCCACTCAGGTCATCTGGTATCTGTGAAGGACCACCTTGAGCCGAGATCTTATCACAATACGTTAGCAGTGCTGGATCCATCTGCGACAGCATCCCAAGCACCTGAAACATCAAAGATAATTATGCCTGCAGAAATTTTCATGGAAAAAGCTATGTATGTTGTCAAAGAGAATTGCAAACGTACTACATCTCGAAGCTCATAGGCTCTACTGACAATTCTCGCTCCAGCATAATCATCTCCATTGTAAGCCTGGATAAATGAGATCAACATGAGACCACATTTTCTAAATTTTCAAAGGTTTTATAGCCATTTAAAAATAGATGTGTTGTAAAATAGGAGTGCACCTTGGCATTTCTCACAATGAGATCAACATCTTGCAAGAAGGGTGAACAAGTGAGGTACTGCCCAGCATCGACACGCTGCAGCAGAGTAGCCGTATCCATTGGATTTTGAATTACTGAGCGATAGTTTGGCGCATCCTCGTCAGTAACTGGGAAGTGGAATGCGCTGAATCTTTTATCATATAGTATCCTGCACAACAGAAGTATCCAACCAGTTATAGTACATTATTTGAAACAATAACAAGAGACAATTTAAACGGACTCATCTGGCATATACCCAAGAAACCAATTAAGCTACCGCATAAGCATATATAAGTATAAAAAGAACATTTGATACTTGTGGGCAGTAGGCCTTCAATTAACATAAGATTATGGGTCGAGCAGACACTTTGAATAGATGTTTATCTAAAGTCAATGCCAATAAACATTTTACCTATTGCAAACATCCCTGAGACACATTCGCAATCTTCGAAGGGCATGCTGCTCTGCTTCCACCTTGGCTTTTATTTCTGCGGGTTTTGGACCAGTAGGTTCTTTTACAACCTTGGGAAGTTCTGGAAGGGCTTGTGATCCATCAGGTTTGCCATTCAAGTCTGAAATGACTGAGAGAGCAGCTTCAATCAAACGGTCAAAGAACAAAGACCTGTCTTCGCTTGATGGTTTGTCCACAGTATAGCTGAAAGCAAAGGTACACAGTGTAAGAAACTGAGTTGAAAACCACAAGCGTGGAATTAATTACAAGGGCAACCAGAAGAATGAATAGTTACACTGATCGATTGTCAAATACTGACTGGTCTTCAATGTCAGATAATTCGCCATAAGATGTAGCAAGTAACAATATAGGAAGATTTGATGGCAATTCTTCTAGCAAAGTCAGAAATACAGCCCTAAGCTGCTCATGCGCCTGCACCATCAGTATCAATATCATTAGACTGGTAACTTAAAACTTAAAGCAGTTCCTAATACAACCAGTAAGACAACATAATGCATTACAGTAACTTAGTAAGTAAACATTATCTCCCAAAGTAACACACTTACATTTTCCCACCAATTATTAAACATGGGTATGTAAAGTATAGAAGGTGTTGTTCTCCTAGCTTCAGTAAATATATGTACTAACGCCTCCTCCGGGGTCTTGGCACCAGGATCCGAAAGAAGAGATGGAAGTCCCAGAGAATGAATAGGAAACTTTTCTAGCTCATGTAAAATAGCAGGCCCAAGATGATCCTGTTAAGCTAGCAAGTGAATTCAGTTCATAATAATAAAGCCTTCAGAGGATAATCACAAGAAACGACAAGCAATTACCAGTCCAACTCCTTCACCACCAAGCAAAAGAAGGCGAGGACGATAAACTAGAGGAATTGCGGATCCAAATGAAAGCATTGACAGCTTGGTCAACTCTGATGACATGGCTGACGAGGGGAAAATATTTGATATTAAACTCATGGATTCAAGGAGGTGTCGATGTAAACATGGCAATACAACCGGAGAGAGTGGTCTGGATTGCACAACAGACCCTCTGTGGGCAGCAGGAGTTATAGCTGACATTGCCTCTACAAAGTGGCTTTTGTGAACCTTAACTAACCCAACATCTATGGCATATTTATCATCACTGGTATAAACTTGTGGATATTTCTCACGAAATGCACGAATGGCAGCTTCAGTGCACAACGCTTTTAGATCAGCACCACAATACCCTACACAACTAGCAGCCAGTTCCTCTTTCAGTTCCCTTGTAGGAGGATTCTTCCATTTACGAGTGTGAATATCCAATATTTCAGCTCTTGCTTCGCAGCCTGGTAAAGAAAAAGTGAACTCTCGATCGAATCTACCAGGGCGACGTAATGCTCCATCTATTGCATCTACTCTGTTTGTGGCTCCAATGAGAACAACTTGACCACGTGAGTCAAGGCCATCCATCAGCGCCAGTAAAGTTGAAACAATAGAATTATGTATTTGCTCTTGTTTGCTAGATCTTACTGGAGCAAGACCATCAATTTCATCAAAAAATATAATCGACGGCTGATTTCGCTGAGCCTCCTCAAAGAGTAGCTTTAGTTGTCTCTCAGCCTCGCCAACCCACTTGCTAAGGACATCAGCACCCTTCCGCATATAAAAGCTAACTTTCTGTCCAGCTTTTGAAGCAGCACATGCCAATGCTCGAGCAATCAGTGTTTTACCAGTGCCTGGAGGACCACACAATAATACCCCTCTGGGAGGAGTAATGTTGTAACTTGCAAAGAACTCTGGGTACAGCAACGGAAAGAAAACCATTTCCTTCAAATCATTAATGTATTCGGACAGCCCACCAATATCGTCAAAATTTATATTCTCATTAATCTGCAGTGGCTGAATATCTGCACCTCCTTTAGAGCTTGGCCCAGCAGTCTGAACCCCAGAAGTTAGTGCAGTTAAACCATCACTCTGGTGACCCCAACCAGAAGCTCCAACATTCAACCCCAGTGAATTTGACCCTGGGATGTCCATACCCCCAAATAGCCAAGGTGGTCCAGATCTGTTTCCACCTCGAGCCCAGGGAATTGCAACGCCCTGGTCCAACTCATCTACGAGAAGAGAATCATCTGAATCGTCTGTTCTTGTAGAGCGGTGGCGCTTGTGAAGTCGAGACCCGCTTCTCCTGACATCCCTTCCAGCCCTGCTGCCCATTCCTTGATGCAACACTCTCCGAGGAGATCTAGGTTGTTGTTGCTTATTAAATTCTTCTGTAGGCATCCTACGAACCTCATCACGGTTCCGTAGATCATATCTCTTTCTTCCCTCCTGTTCTTCATCAACATCTTCATCAGCATCACCATCTTCTTCTTCCTCATCTTCGCCATCACCCTCATCTTCTCCATTACCCTCGACCTCATTTTCACCATCATCAGCATCATGGTCATCTAGTTCATTTCCGTTCTCGGTTTCATCTTGGCCATCTTTCTCTTCTGATGTATCTCGATTGGCGCCAGATTCTGTTTTCAGTCGTTTATTAGCCAGTATCTTTGAACGACGAGGACGGAGGCCTTCCCGTCGTGGTGCCGATTCAGCTTCCATGGTCTTTCTACTTTTTGACGTTGAGAGATTTCGATGAACTCCATTATTGACCCTACTCCTCGTAGTTCGATATGCTGGACTCTGAAAAAAAGATCAGAAACTTTCTCACATGGCATACCACAGTACATACAAATAGGTTTCATAATCAAAGAGCCATCTTCAAGAGGCAGATATACTGACCATCATATCTTCATCCTCCGCTCCAGAACTGTCAGTATAGTCTTCAAGATTTACAGAAATTCTTCTCTTCCTTGTAGAACGCCGGAGGTCAGATGCATTTGGCTGCATGTCATTAACAATGTTATCAACAGTCTGGTTCAATCAGACTAAGACAAACGTATGCGATACAAAGCAACTAATATGACAAAACCCATTAGCGTTAGACAATAATAATCATCTTCTCCTGAGTAACACTTCATAACGGCACATATAGTAGGCACCTCAACTAAAACTGGCATCTACTTAAAACTCCAAGGGAAGTTAAATGCTCTTAATAACACTAAACTTAAAAGCACCAACTTCTCTTTCCACTCATTCACATAAGTAAACTAAACAACACCCAATGGCATTTTCAGGTTTGAAATTTTCATGTTGGTGTTTCATGCTTACCGTGGCATTTGAAGCCCGTGCAGGTTTGTTCCCTTTATGAAGCATCTTTGCAATCTGCGAAGCCGCCGTTCTCGTCTTTGTGTTCTTCCTTTTCCTATTATGTACCATGTTTGGTGAGTAGTAATAGCATGAGCGACCATACAATCTAGGTCTCCTCCTAAGCCTATCACTGCTTCTAACAGGCTTAGTATCCGAACCATCTCCTTCACCTGATCGCTTCGGATGCATAGAGAAAACACTAACTTAACTCTGATGACTATCTTCTTCCATAAACTTCAAAACACACACAAGATTCACAGATCAAACACTCATAACAGAAGAATCCTAGAAGGAAGCCACGTCATCTATTGGTATTATATAACTTCTAATAGACATGCACTTATATAGATAAACCCCACAAGGGACGTTACTAAACCTCCGAGCACTAGAACGAAAGTTCCTAATCTCAAACCCTAGAAGCAAGAAGTGATCAGTTCAATCAAATCTAATGATTCTACCGATAACGTGGACGAGAGTATTGCTTACGAACAGCTATGTCAACTGTTTATTCCGATTGCATTAGCTATAGAACTCAGACGAGGTAAATCAATTGAGATAATGTAAAATCTAGAAAGCGTAACGGATTGATGATAACGTAGAGAAGCGAATACCTGAAGACTGGAGAAGAGAGGAGAGATCGGTAAGTGTCAGTGGTGAGACTGCTGAATTTGCAGGTTCGTCTTCGTTTGCTCTCTTTTTTTCTTTTTTCTTTCGAGCGTTTTTTTTTTTCTCGGCTGCTGCTTTAATAAAATTTTCTAACCCACTCTCTGTTTGGACGTTGGGATATCTCTATCCCTACCGCGTTTAGTCCGTGGATATTCTCTTACGAGTTATGATTATTTCGAAACTACTCCCCAATATTATTAAATATCATATATTGACCCCATAACTTCAGTTTGTTCAGTTATACTTTTAAACACTGATAGCAGACTACAAGAAACAGCAATGACCCCATTATATTTTCTTAAACCTTACGTGGTATCAGTTTAGTTACACATCAGTCATCACTGAGATTTAAACACATTTCGTTTAATCATAATAATTAAGTATAAATACACAATCTTCAGCATCTCAGCTTATTTATAAGTATCTGATGATCCCTTACACTATTTACATGTCAATGATACAATTTATCTTTACAGAGGAATAATCACAAAGTAGTTTAAAATGATTAAGGAGAAGAATCCAGAGACAGAAAGGGATTAAAGTTTCTTGCTTTTGATAGGTTTTTTCAGTTTGGAGGATTTGATTGGGGTCTCCTTGAAGGCAGAAGGGCAAAGCTCACTGATACTACACACTCCGCAACGTGGTCTTAGCGGTGTGCATATCTTTTGTCCGAAACCTACCTGTATGAATGAGTTTCAGACCCAAGAAAATGGAGAAGTGGATTCAGTGGAGTTATACAAAGCACATGTTCATGATATTATATTCATGCATCTCTAAAGTTGGAATGTCACCAAAAGAAAGTTAATAGCGACCCATTCTTCTTTTGGAAGCCATTGTTGCAGAGCTACTCTGGTTTCCTCAGGGGAGGAAGTTTTCTGGTCAGTAGCAAATTAGAAACAGTGACAAGAGTAAACAACACTAATAGAAATTTTAGTAACTTTTAAGAGCTAATCTCATCAAACATATATAAGCATTCTGTCTGAGAAGCACCTGTTTCGTTCCTGGTTTAGATACCCAACCAAGCCGGTTGCAAATGCGATGCACATGTGTGTCTACACATATCCCTTGCACATCATTCCATGCTACATGCAAAACCTATTGCAGGACATCACAGAAAACCTTTGAGAATTTTTTTAAACGTACATCTCTCTTATTAAACTGACTAGCTTTTCAAGTTTTACCAGATGAGCGATCTTAGGACCAACTCCTGGAAGTGAGAGTAGCTCTTCCAAAGACCTTGGAATGTCACCGTCATATTTCGTGAGACAGATTTTCGCAACTTTCTTTACATTTGTAGCCTTTCTAGTATAGAACCCGACCTAAAAGTAAAGGGCAAGCAAGTTTCATATCGATCTTAAATTGACAACAAAACATTTTCAGTTTTAGTGTTTCTCATTCCTTTCCATTTCTTGAACTTTTCAAAAATTCAGAGAGACCTTCGATAACAAGAAGTAATATAACATACCGGGTAAATCAATTCCTTTATGGTTGTTTCATCAGCTTTATCAATAGCCTCAGGAGTGAGAAGGCCATTTAGACGAAGACGTTCTACTGCCGCTGCATTTTAGAAGCCAGATATATACAAGAGTGGTGAAAAAAAAAAAAAAAAAGAGTGGTGAAAATTAAGTGTTGTCCCAACATGGGCTAGGCAGTTCAAAGTGAGACCTCACCACCAGTTATGTGATCTTTAGTCTGACTTGAAAGAAGTGTTCCTATGAGGACATAAAATCGCCTTTCCTATAAAGAACAAGAGATAGGTTGAGAAGCAAAAAGAAAACAAGAAGGGCAAGCCTATTTTGAATTTATGAAATGTAGAAACAATCTAACATAGCTCAATTACTAGATGGAGTAAGATATTTCTACCTTGGGAGGTAAAAAGCTTCCGGTTCTATCACAATTTAAAGGGTCAACTGTTGCTTCTTTTGAAGATGTCATTTCTCGGATACCTTCGAGCATCTTTCCCCAGTTTTCAGGTGGTCTGCCTAGATACGATTAACATCTTAGGAAGGAACGCCCCATTTTCCACAAAAAAAATCCAAGATGCATGCCACTAAGAGTAGTAGTGACTCATGAAAGCAAACCTGATTTTGTGATTGACGATACGGATGTGCTAGCTTCTGTTGATTTTACATAAGAGATTAGTTTTGACGTCCCTGCAAAACAATTTCATACAAGAATTTCTGCTATAAGTTGGAGCGTAGCCGCAAGAAGTTTTTAGCTCAAATTCTCAACTGTAACTTACTTGATGAGGAATTTTAAAATTTTGGTTTACACTTTACATTAAAGGGGAAAATGTAACTGTATAGTACACACTAAGACTCACTAGATGAAAAATCTTCTATATTTGGTAATAATCCACACATCTCCTGCATCATTACATAAACGAGTAGAAAAGTGAAAATTTAATCAGAGAAAAGCTTTTTAAAAAAATTGGTTGTCTATTTTCTCTAGAAATTTGAATTTAGAGAAAATATTGATTTGTCTGTAATGCTCTAAATTCTCAAGGGTTGTCATAGCATTAACAAATGTAAATGTATAAAAACTGTTTCTCATTCCCAGAAACTGTTTACAGGCCAAAGGGATCAACAAATTGGCTATAGAGCTATAAACTCTTCAGACTTATCATAGAAACTGAAATTTTCCAAAACCCTATTCTACAATGCAAGCAAAGTGAAGAAGTGTTTTACTTTAGGGCCATTAATTTCTCTGCTTGAATCTTTCTCCACAGGCTCCAAATCTTCCTGTTTTAGCCTCTTCTTCCTTAGAGATGATGATACTTGAAGCTCAGGCCCAGAATCTCTATTAGCTGATTCTGTTATCAGAAACAAGCATCGAATTAAACAATCTACACAGCCAAGTTCCCCTCCATCAAAATACAAAATTCACCTGAACTGGAACTAGAATTGGAACGAAGAGTTAGGGACCCTGCGGAGATGGATTTGGAAGACGATCGAGTAGAGTACATCCGGCGATTCATAGCATTAAAAGCTCGAGCAGAGGTGATGAGAATCATAGAGCTAACTTTCATTCAAATTCAGATGATGCAGACCTGTCCCCTCCATATTTATTGCTTTCATCGGCCGGAACTCAGTTATTTGATTGGGCCCGTATACTTTTTCAAGCCCAATTACAGCTTCGATTGGGTCGATATTTGAATTAAGGGTTACAAATAATCTACCCAAATCATCGAATCACAGAGTTTCGCGCCTTCTTACAAAAAGGCAAATAAAACTACTGTTAAGAAAATATAAACAAATAAGCAATTAGACAGAACGTTGTCTTTAAGCCAGGTGTGTAGCCTTTTCATGGGTTAAAGGGAAAGCCGAAAGCGTTAGATCGTGTGGATCCCACCACTGTCTCCGTTATGTCTCGCACCACGAGTGCAAGTAGGTGCTCAAAGTCAGTTTTTTACACAGCAACGGAGTTTTTTAAAAATAATCGTTTTTGAAAAAAAAAAAAAGTGTGTTCGGTGGAATATAGTTTTCGTTACTCCTAAAATTCAGTATGTTCATTTCAAGAAGAAAAATCTCCGAACACTAGATTTGTAGCCATATACCTGAAAAATGGATTTAAATGTAAATAAAATGTGGACCATGTATTAATAATTGTGAGCACAACAACAATAATGATGTGACTTTGTAATCTTCCCACACCAGCTAAATTATAGAGCGACAAAGACATGGAGACGTGGGTTTGTTGGCCTATATTCAATCTTCGATTTAGGATCTCTCCATTCGTTTTTAATTCACGTGTCTCAAGTAGTATAACTCCAACTGTATATCTTTGGTGTCACAACCATGTCCTTACATTGACACCATTCCTTCTCATATTCACACAAAAGAGACTCCTTAACAACGTGACTATTATACCATACATGGCCTCGTCCTCAAGCCTGATTATCTCGTAACTAGTGGTACGCATCTATCTATATCTATATACATTTTAAAACTAATGGCTGATTAACGTAGACATGTGACTTGAGAGTTACGGATGATTGATCATTTAAAAACCGAAAAAAACTTTTTTCATAAATATTTTAATTTTGGAGTAATGATAATTGATAGGAAAGTAATTACTTGGGGCCAAATGATCATCACATAACTAGTGATTATATGAGTCTATAAACAATTTTAAGTGAACTTTAATATATTTTTTTAACAAGCTGACTACAGTACTTTTTTTATAGAATTTGGAATCAAAACAAATGTTTTATCTGGCTATGTCCCCAACGATCTATTTGCTAGTCATGAACATCTATCTATATACTAATATACATTTGAAAACCAATGGCTGATTAACACAGCTACTTAACTGACTAAACAATTAAACTTGAAAGTTGGAGATGATCGATCATTGAAAACCGAAAAAAAGAACTTTTTATAAATGTAATTAAAACCTTTTTTTTTTAAAACAACTTTCTATAAATGTTTTAATTTTGGAGTAATGATAATTGATACGAACAGTAATTACTTGGGACCGTGAATTTTGTTTTCAATTATTATTTGGTCCCACAAATTTACTACGACATTTAGTCACGCGAGAAGATGTTACCATCCATCATCATCATCATGGACGTACATCCAGCTCATTGCGGCTATTATAAGTAACTAGATCGGACTCTACATATCTCTCCCGACAAGACACTTAAACTGAAAAGAGACACAGAGAGAAACACAGAGAGGCCTTGACAAATAAAATAAAAAACATAACTGAGAAAGAGAGTGAGTGATGGGTTGTGTTAATCGCGAGAGTTGGAAGAAGCTAGAGAGGAAGAAGAGCAATGTGTTGCTAGAAGGTTACGTGGAGACTCTTGCCACGTTGGATAATCAGTACGATCTGACAAGATCCAAGAGCTTGACTGATGACGATCTTGAAGATCTCAAGGGTTGTTTAGATCTTGGCTTTGGGTTCAGCTACGACGAGATCCCTGAGCTTTGTAACACTCTCCCTGCTTTGGAACTTTGTTATTCCATGAGGCAGAGATTCTCTGACGACAAGAACAACAATAAGTCACCGGAAAGTTCGTTGGTGGATCATTCTCCGTCGCCTCCGATTGCTAACTGGAAGATTTCTAGTCCTGGTAAGTAATCTCATATTCATTTGTTTTGTTGCTTAATTAGTGTTAGTGTGTGAACAAGTGTTGAGGTTAGTTTCTTGTTTATCAGGTGATAATCCGGATGATGTGAAAGCTAGGCTCAAGTACTGGGCACAAGCTGTTGCATGTACTGTCCAATTATGCAGCTGAACTCAGTCTGAACCAGGAGTACTCAGGCACTGTTTAGCTGAGGAGGAGATCCCAGGAAGGTCTGAAGTTTAACTGAACATCTATAGTGGTTCTTGACTATAAATACCATGTTACTAGTATTCTAGTCTAATGATTGTTGTGAACCGAAATAAAGGTATCACTAAATAAAAAAAAAAACATTCAACTCTTTCTTATTTCCCTGCCAGTCTCAGCTTTTGAGAGCTTTAACACCTGACATCTAAACAGATGGATTCTTTTGTCCTTTCATTCATTTCATTCTATAAAGGTAACTAATCTAACTTTGTATGTTAATTGAGTGTGGTGTTGCTAGATGATTGTTGTCCTTGTGCAGTGATGAGAGACTTGTGTGTTATGAGAGCTATCACTAACTACTTGATGAGGTAACTAATCATATCTTGGTAACTAGGTCAACATAACCTTTTTGAAGCCACTGACATAACTACTATCCTCCTGACTCGTTCCATATTTGTTTCATCTTCTTCATTTTATAGTATCTGTCCTAAATCCTTATTGGTGAATATATATAAGTTAATGACTGATTACAACTGATATAGATCCTGGATCTTGAGAGAGTGTGTAACTATAAGCTTAAGCAGCTTCTAATGAATGTTATGTGACACATGTTTCAATCTCCACTCCAAAAGCAGAGTCATGAAGTGTTCAAAGGCAGACTTCAAAATACAAACCCCTCTTAATAAATGAAATCCTGTAAATTAAACTCACATGTTCATGCAAATGTTTGTTTTGGACAAAATTTATTGCTTTTGAGCTCTGCATATACAACATAACAATACCGAGTTAGACTAGCACTGGTTAAGTAATCCTTCACATTCTAGCTGCACTTCATAATGAGGCGCATAAATAAGGAATCCCCAGACCCGCTTCATTTACAATAAGGCCTAACTTAAAAGCCCTTTGGGCCATACAATTATTAAGCTGTTTAATGGGCTTTTGTTTATGGGCTTCTCTATATGGGTGAATATATAACAAGTCAATATAAAAAAAAAATACGAAAAGTCCACGAATGAAAATTAAATACGAATGAGGCTGTAATTGTATTGGTCGAAGAACTGACCAAACAAACTCAACTCTTCAAAATTTTCCTCTCTAACTTCCTCCGCTCCCTCGTCGCCGTCGTCGCCGGCGGTTCCTGCCATCTCCCCCACCACAATAAATCAGGCCGCGAGGGAGACGATGACGTCATCCATCCTGAATTTCTCAATCCGCGCAAGATTCACGCTGATTCCTCTCCTCACTGCTCTCCTCACGCTCGTCATCTGCGTCTCTTCGAATCCAGGAGTGTTCAACGTCAAGTACCGTTACCCTAGGCTCCAAGGCTCCCTCAGCGCCTTAAAAGAGCACGATGACAAGCGCCAGCTCACAATTCTCGCCGGAATCGATCTTCCTCTCGGTGGAACCGGTCGCCCTGACATCCTAGGGTTTCGTTTTACCCTCTCTCTCACAATATTTTTTAGCTTCACAATTCGATTTAATTGAATCTCTGTTTTCTGAATTGAAAGGTTGTATTATGCGAAAATTGGAATTGGAACACCAGCGAAGAGTTATTACGTGCAAGTGGACACAGGGAGTGATATCATGTGGGTTAACTGTATTATGTGCAAAGAGTGTCCCAAAAAAAGCAATCTTGGTGTAAGCCTCCTTGCACTTCTTTCTTTTTTTATCAATATGTGTGTGTGTGTGTGTTTGTGCTACATTTCTCTTATTAAAAGATTTTTTTTCAATAGTTATGTGTCTGTGTGTGTTTGTACTACATTTCTATTATTAAAAGTTTTATTTTTATTGTTTGATGTGTAGATTGAGCTGACACTGTACGACATTGAGGAATCAGAGAGCGCGAAGTTGGTTTCATGTGATGAAGAATTTTGCAATCAGATTAGTGGTGGTCCGCTCACTGGCTGCAAAGCTAATATGTCGTGTCCTTATCTTGAGATTTATGGAGATGGGAGCTCTACTGCTGGCTATTTTGTGAAAGATGTTGTGCAGTATGATAGTGTTGCTGGGGATCTCAAGACTAAAACGGCTAATGGGAGTGTTATATTTGGGTTAGTCAATCTCGCTTTTTAAGTTTGTGCTGCTGCTACATAGAGTTTGCATAGATGCTGAAAAGAGTACTAGCTTTCCTTGCTTGTGGTTACTGTTGGTAGAGGCTGTATAATTGATTAATTGGCGAACGATTCATGAAGCACATAGGTAGGCCAAACAGATAAAAGTTGGTTGGTTAGATAAATAAACTTAAGATTCTGACCGAACTAAGAATGCTTCCTGGAATCTGTTCTGTTTTTTTTTTCGTTTTTAAAGTAACATGTGAATAAGTTCTCCACCATGTGTGGTGATATTCTCGTGGAGTGAATAAGTTCTCCATCATGTCTGGTGATATTCTCGTGGAGTGAAGTATCGCAGACAAACAATATGCCTTACTGAAATATCCTTTGTTTTGGATGATGATAACTGATTGATTTGCTTATTGTTATTTGGTAGATCAGTTTATTTCTTTCATACCTAAAATTCTGTAAAAAATATATTGTAGTTCTCCTTTTCAATTTTTTTTATCACTCCTCTTTGCAAGGAATTTTAATGCGTCATGCCTCATTGCCTCTTACACAATATTATAAATGTAATATGATTTTGAAGGTGTGGTGCTAGGCAGTCAGGAGATCTTGACGCTTCTAATGAAGAAGCACTTGACGGAATACTTGGGTTTGGAAAAGCTAATTCCTCAATGATTTCCCAGCTAGCGTCATCTGGAAGAGTGAAAAAGATATTTGCTCATTGCTTAGATGGAAGAAATGGAGGTGGTATATTTGCCATTGGACGTGTTGTACAACCAAAAGTAAACATGACACCACTGGTACCCAATCAGTATGTCAAATATTTTTTATTTTCCAATTATATGCTGGAAATGATATCATTGCCTCACAATCTGGGTAGAAATCTTAGTGAGATACTGGTAGAAATCTTAGTGAGTAGACACGGGCACCATGCCAATCTTGTTATAGTCCTGCTTTAGACTAGTTTTACACGCTTGCTGAGATACTGACATCTGAGATATAAACCTCTTCGTGTACATTGTAATAGCTGGAGTATTACCTGAAAAAAATTGAATGTAGTCGATTCTCTAGTTCTTTTCTGTTAATGGACTATCTTCGGTTTTAAATGTAGGCCACACTACAATGTCAACATGACAGCAGTTCAAGTTGGTCAGGAGTTTCTAGATATCCCAGCTGATTTATTTCAACCGGGAGACAGAAAAGGAGCAATAATTGATAGTGGTACAACCTTGGCCTATCTTCCAGAGATAATCTATGAACCATTGGTGGAGAAGGTACATTGCATGAAAAAACATTTAAGTTTTCAAAGATTTTTTTCCTGCAGATTATGTTCTCATAAATCTGGATCTCCCTTGTTAGATAACCTCGCAGGAGCCTTCTCTGAAGGTTCACATAGTTGATAAAGATTACAAATGCTTTCAGTACTCTGGAAGGTTAGTTTTATGTCTTGAACTTATGAGTAATACTGCAAAACCTTGAATTTGCATAGCTTACATAATAGCCTTTCTTATGAAACCACATGTTACCTTTGCTGCCAGAGTTGATGAGGTGTTTCCAAATGTCACCTTCCATTTCGAAAACTCGGTTTTCCTCAGGGTTTATCCTCATGACTATCTGTTCCCTTATGTAAGCATCTTCACAGCCTTTTCTGGTTGATATGTCGCATGCATATCCGGCTATCTATCTCACCTCGTACTCATGAAACTAATTTCTTTTTTGTAACAGGAAGGAATGTGGTGTATTGGTTGGCAAAATAGTGGAATGCAATCAAGAGATAGGAGAAACATGACACTTTTGGGAGGTACCTTAAGAATACTCACAAACCTTTCTTCACCTCTGAGTCTCTTTTTCATTAACAAGCTCTAGATTTTGCGTTGTATCCTGTCATCTCTACCATTGTAAATTAAGGTCAATAGTTTGCAATGCATCTTGTTTGAATCAATCCTGTGCCCTTTGCAGATTTGGTCCTATCAAACAAGCTTGTTCTCTACGATCTTGAAAATCAGCTCATCGGGTGGACTGAGTACAACTGTAAGTGTTAGGACCAAGATTCATGTCTCACAAGTTTTGTTTAAAAGATTTCTAATATGAAACACAATATGTCTGTCTGTCTTCTTTCTTTGCAGGCTCATCAAGCATCAAAGTTAAAGATGAAGGAACAGGAACAGTTCATCTAGTCGGCTCACATTTTATCTCTTCTGCAATTCCTTTAGATACCTCTTTGCTTCTACTTTCGTTACTTCTTCTCATGACTCTTTTCCTCCTTTAGTAGACACAACTTATAGTTTCTCTTTTGTATATAGATTCAACATATATTGCTTGCGCAAATGGTAAAAAATTGGTCTGGGTATAGATATAATACAAAGAAAACCAGCAGATTGCCAGATAGTTATCATTTTTAATTGATTTTAGCATGGTAAAATATAGATATAAATACACAGATATTACCATAATAAATAAGAGAACCAACATATTCAGGATCATTTGATCCTGGAACAAGGTTACGAGAAAATGCTGCTTATTAGACTCACCCAGGAGTGTAACTAATTAGTATCTGTACAAGAAATTGGTTGTTACAAAACCTTGGAACTGAGTTGAACAATACAAATCCCAAGTCAGAGAGAGAAAAGAACAAACTTGTCAAGTGCTTTACTTCTCAGGCCTCTGTCCACTCTTTTAACTCACGGGGAGAAGCATAAATATTTGCCTGTTGTTCTTCGGCTTCCGCGTCATTAACAACACCTCGACATCTTGGGAAGCCACAGTAACATGCAAGTCGCTCATCAATTGAAAAGAACCTGCACGTTTGGAGATAAAATGTAAGCAAATGATATAAGAATTACTTCCAAAAGCACCTGCGAAATAAAGAGTAATAAGAAGAACCTGTAATCATAGGTCAGCTCTTCCCATTTCGCGACATCCCTCTTTGCAAATATGATAATATGATCATCATCATTAACCCTAATGACTCTTGAATAGCAATTTGGCTGTACAGACAGAAGCAAATCCACAAGTAATGTGATGATACTGCAGATGCTAACTAAGTCAAATTCAAATACTTGAAAAAAAGTTATTGACCATACCTCACATGAGTGATTGATCAGATGGGCAATGCTCCCTGTCCTTGTTGCATCTATCACTCGCTCATTGTCAATTCTAAACATGTAGGTCCCGGCACCCTATATGATATAAATTATTATTTTAAGTTATATTTTACAGAAAATAGCAGAGCCCAAAAATCAGTGAGTGAAATCTGGGACGATGTGTAGATAGATACTAAGGGAATGATAAATTAATGTTCCAGTGCTCGAGAAAACAAAAACAATTAATATGATTCCATTGGAGAAACCACAGATAGCAACAAAATGTACAAGGTCAGATACGCACCACCATTGAATTGTATATAAGATGTTCTCTCTTGTCAGCTATTGAAGGCCTAACGAGTTCTCCAGTGTATTCAATCACCTGCATCCACCCAAATTCACAATATTATCATGACTGACACTTAGCCGTACAAGAATTGACAGTTCAAGTTAAGAATACTAACCATATCTCCTGCCCTGTGTGGAAGCTTTGCAAAGATCCCAAAACCATGAATTCCTGATTTCCCTGTAAAGGAAGTAAACCATTTGGAGGAAAAAAAAGATCAGACGGAACTGGTTTTGAGAGATAAGGTGGGCTTAACGGGAAAACGTTTTTATCTAAGCCATAATCAGTAGAAACGATTACAATATCCAGAGACCCATCACACAAATGCACTATGCATCCCAAGAACTCAAGAATAAAAAATCGAGCAGTATTAGCTTCTTACAAAAATCCACTAATTTGATCTTCAAAAGCACCCCACTCCCACCCAAAAGACACGAAGATATGTGGCAACACACCAGAAATTTTGAATGAGTAGTAACATCTTTTAGGATTACTGGTTAAATGCTTACCGAATGCTAATCTCTTCCTGTATGTTTCCTTCATGTATCTATATTTCTCGGCCATAGATAAAATCTTGCTTGGAGTAATTATCTGAGACACCTTTGATCCATGTATGCGTTCGTATGTTGAAAATTCATGTCGAGAGTATCCACCTACAATATACGGCAGATTATCAACAAATAATCTTTTTGAAGAGGCACCGGCAAGAGCTTCTGGTTCCTTTCGTCCTCTTCTTCCAAGATAGTTATAAGGCTCTAGCAGAAACAGAGAAAAATATGTTAGCAATTCTGCAAGAAAAAGCTATAAACTGGCATATAGAATGCCCCTTTAGATGTGAACATGAATACAAGCAAGCAAAATGTGAAAATACATGAGACTAGATCTCTGAGAATAATTTGTAAAAGCCCCCAGAGAATAATGTAAGATCAATGAAGAAAACGAAAAAATACAAATTTGCCACACGTGAGGTAAGAGAATAACTAGCCACACTATCCATCTCAAAGCGATGGTGTAAAGCAACACTTTATTTCAAGCAGGTATTAATTAATGCAACTGCATACCAGTACGAGCACACCCAGATGGATTAGGAGGTGGGACATACTTCGCAGTATCATGAACAGGTTTGATCATGTACTCTGTTTCTAGGAGGCTATTTGATGTTTGTCGATGCCTCTTGCAAAATGAAAGTTGGCGGATGCACTGATCTGCATCATCCTCTTCCATTGATAGAAGAAAAAGCCTATCCTCATCCGCAAGCTACAAGAATGCAATAATTGTTAAAAACATCTTTTTGTGACAAGAATCTCATGATCCCCTATAGGATATGAAAGTACCTCAACACAGAGGCCAGCAGCTCGTGCGCATAGTGGATGGTATGCCACTCGACAAGAACTGTTTGAACACTGAAAATATGCAGCTCGTTACTTTTTTCTTTTAAGTGCCAACAACATTGCTTACATTTTCATAGATAATAGTGCCACTCTACAGTAATATTGCTTATGTGAAGGATACAAAACATTTTGTTTTGTCATTAAAAGAATTCTTACTTGGATACAAGCTCCATAAGATACTCCACAGATGCTGCACAATAACTTCCAACGATCCTATTTGAAGTGTTACAAAAAGAACACAACTAATCAAGCATCATGATGGACACTGACTCTATATGAGGCAACATATGTAAAAGAAACTAAAAATTAAGAACTCAAACCTTATTGACTTTATTAATCCCATCAATGGGTTCCATCTTCTTGACATTCGATAAACATGTTTCTGAACAATATCACTTGGGTTACATATATTGAATTATAGAAGTATAATCCATTGTAGAAAACATACACGTCAGAATAATATAATAAAAGGGCAAGAGCGAACCTGGGATCCATATGGCACAAGCCAGATGAGCCCAGCGCCCATCAGTTGTCGGCTTCATAGCGCCACCTGAAAGATCTTTTGTTGGTTACTGATGAAAAATATAAACACTCCATACCGAACAGGTTTGGTCAAATTACCAACTACAGGACAGAGACAACATCGTGGAGGAATATCAACGGCGCCAGGACGACACAAGTTGCATAACCACAGAACGCCATCACGGGGTTCCAGCTGTCCATAGCATCTAGTATGAACCTAGTCCAAGATCAAATTTTCAGCATCACCTTGAAGTAGAAAGGATACCAGCTACTATAGAGTAGAGACCTTAAGCGACATAAGAGAGTAAGATCAATACCATCATTCTACATTTGTCACATTGTAGGAACAGATTGTTCTCATATTCCTGCAGACAAGAAATTCTAAGTCAGAGCTAACTTACTGAAGCGTTCTATATTAAGATAAGCATACAAAAGATTTTATCACGAACGAAACATTGTTAACCTCATCCATGTGGCAGACATTGCACTTGTCAATATCTTTCCAGTCAACCCGCACAGGTCGGTAACCAGTAGGATGATCTTGATACTTCCCCGAACTAAACTTGCGCTGAGAAACCTTTGAGGTTGGTCTGGATTGTAATAGCCCCTGCCAGTTAGGTCAAGCCTTATCATAGAACATCAATGGGAAAGAATAAATGCACATAGCTTGAAAGGTTTAAAACTTCCATGAAAAAACATAAATGTGTTCAACAGAGAACCTAGCGGAAACTCCTGAGAAACGAGTAAATGAAGGAGTACAAAGTGACAAATTTGAAACCACTACATATCATTTAATCTTGTCAAGAAACTTGTACAGATTCAAGAAGAAAGTACCTGTACAAGTTTATCAACTTCTGGGTTGGAGAAGCCAAACATATCGGTACCAGATTCATGTGGTCTGTCACCCAACATATAAGGACTATCCGAAGCACTCTGAATCTTTTTTATTCTACTATATATTTTATTCCAGCATGCAGATGGAGTGTCTCCTTTGAACTGTAAAAATATCAACGCATCATTGTAAAAGATGGCTATAACAAACTTTAATGCACACAAGCACTCCACCTAGAAAACTAACCTGCTCACCGCTATTTGTGGTCACTCTGAAAACAGGGCGAGTCTTTGACTCAGAATCTCTAAGCACTTCCATCTTGTACATGGCAGATGCACCAGGATCTGCTTGAATTCAAAGCAAGAAATCGGTCATATTGATCAACTAATTCAATGAACCAAAAAAACAAACTGCCAAATTAATATAGAAGAGCTCGAAAATGACAAATAATTCACCTTTTAGTGATATGAATTTTCTCATAGCTGTATACCCTTCAGGCCAAGTATGATGACTGTCCTTAAAAAACTCAGAGTCAGTCACGATTCTTCCTGGAAGATAATTGACATACGCCTATGCATAATGAGCAGATACCATTCCAACCAAGAATAATACACAGCACTTATAAGTTTCATACATTACCAAGATTTATTATCTGCAGATCTCCTATTGTATACAAACAATTTCCAAGTTCCGCTGGTCGCAACCAGACTTCTCCATCTTTTGTGTAAGAGTTTGAGCTGTCCTCTTCTCCACTATTAGTCTTTTCAGAACAATCGGTATCAGCAACTTTTTGAAGTTGATCCATCCTTCCCGGAAGCTTAAATTCTTTTAGGTACCTGGGTAAGGTCAATTACAGCAATTTAGCACATGCATGAACGTTGATGTTCAGATAAACACAGGGAAATGATCTAGTTCTTAACAACTTCGCTATATTGGCAAACTAAAAATGTAGAGTGCCAGTGAAAAGCATGAGAACTTACATTTTTGCTTCTTCCATGGCCTGTTCAAACCGAGGTTGCTTGCACTTCAGGGGAGACCTTGAGAGAAGCCCTTGAAGAAACGAGACCGCTTGCTTGGCTTGTATTCTGTACAACCAAATGCCACAATGTCAATTTTACCTCTTGCTAAATATGATGTGTAACATAGTAACAACAAACAAGATCTCTAGAGGTTTAAGAAGATTTTCTAACCTAGCAAAATCATGAGTGCCGAAAAACTGTACAAGAATTGAGTTCCCTCCAGATGCCTTGTTATTTAGACCTTTTCGCTTTACTGTAACAGATTCATCCACAACAATCGCTGGCCACATAGCATGACCTGTCCGGAAAAGGTAACAAACATAGCAGTATCGTCTCAGTAGGCATAGAAGGTCTTTCGGAAACCAGAATGTTTGAAGCTAAGCAATACATTGTTTTAGTATAGAGTATTGACCAGTTAGTTTCGCCCATATGATGTCTCTAGGCTCAAAATCTTGACACCCCTCAAACGAAGCAGCCAATACAACCATCTCATCATAATCTTGACCACCAACAGCCACATCATTACTACCAAACTTCAAATTCAGCCGATCCATCTCTTCACGAGAAATTAAATATTTGATCATTTCACGACGAAGAGCTAACTCCTCAACATCCCCATCTCCATATTTAATCTGTAGAGAAAAGAAAAAAACCCTTAGATATAATCGAAAACAACGGCATGAGAAAAACACAATATACAGAAATAACTTACAGTATGGTGCTTATTCTCTACATTATATCCAATGATAGAACCAATATACCAATCAGCATCCAATGGCCAAAAAACCTAGAGAGGTTGTTATAATCAATCACGTGTTAAACATGGAATAAAAATAAGCTAAAATCACATAACCATAAAGCTCAAAACGCTTGCCTTGCATTGCAGTCCAATAAAAGCTGTAGGATCAACACCATCATAACTTAACCTGAAAAATACAAACAGAGGCACATTAAGTGATGATGACGTGTCCATCTAACACTACACCGTTAGATGATCTAACGAACCTGATCCATTTCTTAGCTGTGGGAGAAGCTTGGAGTAGATTCTTCCCTTTCCTCTTTGAAGATCCGTTTTGCTTATTAGCGTTGATTCTACACTCTCTTAAAAACGGCGTCGTATTAGAGACGCTTAACGTAGTTGAATCTACTCCCAATTTCATCAGCTCGCTGTTACTAACTCTCCTTCTCTTCATCTCCTTCTCCTCTTCCTTAGGTAGTCGTCGCCTACGGCGACTGTAGACGCGAACAATCTCAGGTTTACGATGAGGAGGCGACTCGGTGACTAGGAGCTGCTCGGTTTTGACGTTGTTGGTGTTATTAACACAGCACAGTGAAGAGGAGGAGGAAGATGAGACGGAGTAGACGCGCTCGAGAGAGGCGTAGCGAAGCGGGAGATCAGCTTCGGATTTGATTTGAGTGTCTTCTTCTTCCTCGGGGACACTCGCCATTGAAGATAGCTCACTCACTCACTAGTTACAATGGAACTGAAATTGAGATTTGAAATTGAAATTGAAAAATTAGGGTTTAAGCAAAAGACGATGAAGGAGGATGCGGAGGAGATCTATTTCCCGCCGGTTACAATTAGGAGGAGGAAAGTTCTATTTCCAGATCTGCTCCTCACTCACTCACCTTCTCCTCAAGTGTATGTGAACAGTTAAGCTAAAGACTCTGATTGGGTTAGAGTCTCTAACTCTTCTCATCTCTCTTCTAATTCAAATTCATTAATGATTTACTGCATATTTGAAATTAATTTGGAATAAATATCAAATCAAACCAATAACATCGAATGAAAATTATTCAGAAGATTCCTTTTCTAATTAAGGTTCAGTTTCCTGAATTCAAATGTTTTCTTAAGATTTTCAGGTTGTTGGAGAGTTAATTAAATTTCAAAAATATTACAAACAAATATGAATATATTATATATTTTCCGAAACTAAAAAAGAAGAACGAGATAGATAAATATAAATTACACTTTTTGAGAAATAAATTACACTTTTTCTATGAGACAACAATAGAAAACTTACAATGAGAAAGAAAGAGAGAAAAATGGAAAAGAAAAAAAAAGAGAGAGAAAAATGGGAATGAAAATGAAAAGAAAATCAAAATAGATTCTTATTTGAGTATCAACTGGAACAGCAAGAGAAACCAGAGCTCTGTTTAGAGTCAGTGTTATCATCGTCCTTAACTAGACTTACCCGACTCACAGTGAGTTTATCTTTATAAGTATCCGAGTTTAGTTGCTTACGGCTCACGTTATTGTAGATATCAAGAATCACCTTCTCGAAAGCTGTTCTAACATTAGTCGAATCAAGAGCTGATGTTTCCACAAAGAATAATCCTTGTGCTTCTGCTAGTGCTTTGCCTTCTTCCACGCTCACTGCTCTTATGTTTTCTAGGTCTGATTTGTTCCCTACTAGCATTCTCGCCACCGTTGTATCAGAATGGACTGGAACAACAAAATAAGTAAGAAGCAAATGATTAGTTTTCATAAAAAAATCAATTTAATTCTCGAGCGGTTCAAAGAAGAATCTACTGTTGTTGTGTCCTAGCAGAAACATGGTCAAACTTTTATTTACCTACAGAATCATACATGTGTCAAGTTTGATCTACATGTATAAAACAAGAAGCATTTTAACATGTTACCAAAAGAAAACAAGAAGCTTGATTATATACATATGAAGGGACCTTGTAATTTACTATTTTGGATAGAGAAAAGACTTTCTAGTTGCTTTAAAGCTTCAAAAGTTTTAAGACACAAAGTCCTCCCTTGACCCTTCAAATGTAATAGATTAATAGTACCTACCGTGATTAGCACTTAACCATCATAAGAGTTCTGCCTAAATTAGTTTTAAACTCTATAATTATAGTCAACCCTACGACTTTATTTAGCAAGACCACACCGATATGAATCAATGGCATGATTCGAATGCATCTCATCATCGTTGTCAAATCTATTAATCAGGAGAAACAAAAAAACAAGCAATGGAACAAAACAGAGACTCACTCTTGAGCTCATCGAGCCAACGTCCGACACTCTCGAAGGTAATGCGGCGACTAATGTCGTAGACAACAAGTGCACCGACAGCGCCACGGTAATAAGCAGAGGTAACCGCACGGAAGCGTTCTTGGCCAGCAGTGTCCCAAATCTGAGCCTTAACCTCCTTACCATCAATATTCATGCTCTGAGTCTGAAACTCCACACCGATCGTGGCTTTGGAATGCGCGCTGAACTCATTACGGGCGTACCGAGACAGGAGGTTTGATTTTCCGACCGCCGAGTCGCCGATAACCACGATCTTGAAAAGATATTCTTCTCTTCCTTCGTCGTCCGAATACATCGTTATAGCTCCTCTCTCTGTTCTTGTTTCTAGAGAGAGAGAGAGAGAGAGAAGTATGAGAGGTTTTAGAGAGAGGGTGGACGGTGCAACAAGCTGGCAAGAGGACATACTGCGCATTAAGTGCCCGTCTTGATATCATTGACGTTTTCACGTAATTTATAAACTATATATACGCTAAAGTATATGTATAGGTAAGAAAATATTAAATAGTCTAGTACCTACCTTTGTAACGTGCATACACGCTACTAGTGTATTATGGTTAGTCGGAAGCCTAATCACAACATCTACTAACAAAAAAAATTATGGCCTATTGAGGTTTACGCACCATCAAATATACAAAACATTTATTCTTACTTATAACAACTTATAATACTGTCGAAAGATACTAACTACTCCCATAACGTGGATGTTCGTTCGCTTTATTGTTGTTTAGTTAGAAATTAACATAAGTGTTTTAAGAAGTATAGAGCTCGGGTAAGAATTATGTGCTTATGTCTTTTTTGGGATCAAATGTGCTTATGAATTTTGGTTTTGTTAGAGTAGTTATCAATAATATTAAAACATAAACATTTTCTTTAATGATTTTTTTTATGTTTTCCAATTATATCTTTATTCTTATATAAAAATTTAGTTTATCATTAATGGCAATTTTGTCATTTTTATTTGGGCCTAAAAATATAATAAGGGGTTTCATTAATAGGCTGATTTTTTTTTCAAATTTCATAAAACTTCTCTTGTAAAAATATATTTTCTTTGCGGGTCAGACATGTCAAATTTCTGAGTCATAAAAATGACTCAACCCGCTGCAGAGCGGGTCGGACGAAGCGAGTTTGACTCGGTTCCCAACATCAGACGTAGTTAATTGATATTATTTTTCCCAAATAAAACTACACAATTATATACAATTCATTTACATAGATATTGATGATAATAATAAATTAAAATCTGCATTAATTTTAAAAAGTTATATTAGATAGTGAAATTTTGTAACTAAATGATTTTATGAATTAATCACAAAACTAAAAAAATGGGTCATTTAATTGTTAAATATACAATCTTCTCAAGTACAAATTTGAGGTATAACCATTGTTAATATATTTTGAAAGATAAAAATTTTGTCTGAGACATTGTCAAATAAAAACTTCTTCATACCCGCATGATAACTTGATCTTGATTTTGTGACATTTTATATCATCAAAAAAGATCTATTGATCCATTTATAGATAAAACAACAAAAATAATACCCGCGCTTTTTAAGCGTGGGGCAAAAATATAGTAGTAAAGTTAAATTGCTATCATCCAAACCAATTCAAAATCAAAATGGAATTTTTCAAATAAAATAAACAAATAATTAATATTTTAATTTAATAAACTTTTGGTATATTAGTTTACAAAGTATAGAAGTAAGTTATTTAAGTGTATATGTCACTACGTATATACCGATTAATTTCATTTACAAAGTATAGGAGCAGCATAAAATATGATTAAAGATATATATGTTAGTCTGTATAATAGAATCAAAATATAAAATCATTATAAACAATACAACAAAGTATAAGAGTAACATTTGATGACCCCAAAAAAATGTATAAGAGTAACATAGCATATTTAAGTGTATATGTTACCACATATTTTCTGCTTATTTACTCTTTATTTTTGATGTTTTTTATATTTTGTGTATCATATGATCCAAATGATAGCTGAAAAAATATTATCATAGTGCTCTTGAACATACAGAATATAAATGATTTCCTTAACTAAAATAACAGTTATATGTTAATTAGAATTAAATTATTAGAAATGAAAAAAATACATGTTAAATTTTAAGAGAAACATATTTTTAGGATTGAGGAAAGATATAATCAGCAATAATTTTTTTAGTTGTTAGTTGCAATATAATAGTCAAAATAGTAGAAAGGCAATTAAACATAATGGTTTAACTATATTTTTTATAAATAGTTTTTTTTTTGTGATTCTCTTTTAATGGTATAGATAAAAAAATCTAATCCAGTAAATTCTTTAATAAATATTAAAAATAAAATTATATGATAAAATTTAATTGAAACAAATAAGAGAATGTGTGCTCTGTAACCACAATTAGAACAATAATCAGTTATATGGAAAATTTATAATTTGGTACTAATTATGCACTAATTTGTAGATTTAGATGACTCATATGAAAAAGAATATTATTCATTGATAAATGAAGATGCTGCCGAGTCACAAGTACAAGCCAGAAGTTGATGCATTTTTAACTTTTTCTTGAACCTCAAGGAGCGGTGTGAAGATATGATCTCTGATGTTGGTTTGTAAGTGTGACTCAGCAGGTACATTTGGCTCAGAAGTTGATGCATTTTTAACTTCTTCTTGAATCTCGAGGAGCGGTGTGAAACTATGATCTCTGGCTTGTACTTGTGACTCAGCAAGTACATTTGGCTAAGAAGTTGATGCACTTTTTACTTCTTCTTGAATCGCAAGGAGCGGTGTGAAAATATGATCTATGACTTGTACTTGTGACTCAGCAGCATCTTCATTTATCAATGAATAATATTCTTCTTCATATGAGTCATTTAAATCTACAACAACCATGTTGTATACCTCTTTAAGATCTGCCTTTTGGTCTTCAACATCAGTCATAAGCTTCTAGACATCACCACTACAAAACAAAGCAAAAGATCAGAAGTCAAACAAAGTAAAATTAGAGTATATAATGCCTTACATGTTCCCCAGTTCTTCTTCCATAAACTGTTCAGCCAGCCTTAGTGCCTTAAATGTCGCTGATGTGGTAAGTGCACATTGTAGGTTTAGTTCACTCCGCTGAAGTGAGAATAGTTGGTCGCTCAACATGTCCGCATGAGCAGTGAGCTGGCGCTTCAGTTTCAGAGCATTAATTGCTTGATTCCTTGATACTAAAGCTAGGCTTCTAGCCTTCTCTTGAGCAGCTTCGGCTTTCTTGTTAATCCGACCAATCTATTTCTCATGATTTGCTATGGTATCTTGGAGTTGCGTAATGAACTGTTGAGGATCTCCCATTTCGAAAACATTCTTTACCTCCGCTGACTTCTTCTTGATCCAGTTAAATTGATGTGATCCTGAATAGGAGAGAACTGAGATTAAGCAGATGCATTGGCTGAGCTTCTGGGAATTGGTGACTTCTACTATGAACTTGGTATGTTTTGTTCTCTTACCTGACATGTTTCTCTCCAAAGTGTGAGAGTAGATAGACATATATTGCTTCCTCTAACTTCTTAAGTCCATGTTTGGATAAGGGAATGAAAAACTGACATATCTATATATATACGGCAGGGTTAGTTCTTACAGCGGGGTTAATTCTTAGTTTTTTTTAGTCAAAAGTTAAGAGACGGGTTTAGAGGTGAGATTCTGTAATCCCTTTTCAGACTTAAACCTTCTTATTGTATTACTTATGATGGTCTGGTTTGGTTCGACTGAAAATTTGTTTATTCTCTTTATCTACAAGACCAAGGAGACGTCTTTTATTGGCTCCTGTCTCAACTAAAAACAATCATCAATGACAGAAAAAAGTAACAACTATCAAATCTTCAGACAAAAGACCATTACAAAGGTTAAAAAATGTTTTAGCATTATGAATCAGCCAAGACAAAGGTAAAAGATAGTATTTTTATCTCTAAGAGATAAACTGTTTTAGTCGCGAATGGAGAAGGCTGTCTTCATCCTCTGCACAATGTGAGGCAACGTGTTCAAACTCTCCTCAATGGATTGATTAACGCAACTCTCCATATCTTTGGCTGCATCAACCCTGTTCTTATGAAGCTTCGAAGCCTCAAATTTGTCTTGACAGACCATGAGAGATCTGTTCATCCTTTCCTGAAACTGAGCCATTTCGCCTTCGAAAAACTGCTGAGATTTGAGAACAGGAACACTGCAGTGCTCAACACAGTTGGCTATCTCCTCTTGCTTCCTGCTTCTGTCAAAGCACTCGTATGCACACTTGAAGTAAGCTTGCTGCAAAATTTAAAACCATTTTATTCACATAAACATCATCAAACTTAACCGAAACTGAATATAACTAATGCGTGTATGAAACAAATACAATAAACATGAGAACAATACACTTGAGTTATAACGGTTATAAACCATAGAGACCAAAACTTCATATGAAATTGAAATCTGATTTCGAACTAAGCTCATACCACAAGAGAACTTCACTAAAATAGATGAATAGGTCTTTTTCTTCGGATTTTTGGGGCTATTTTTCTCACAAATTGGTCACTAAAAAGGTGATCAAACACAAATAAGCAAACATACCCTAACTAAGAGAACAAGAGTGTATATATACCTGAAGGGTGAAATTGATGTGATCTTGAATAGGAGAGAGCTGAGATTGAGCAGATGCATTGACTTCTTCCATCTTTCTCCTAAGCCTCTCCGTTACAATTTGCTCTTCCGCCGCCGCCATGTGATCCATCGTCGCTCGAGAGAAGCTGATTTTGACTTTTTTAGGGTTTTAGGGGTTTAAGATGCTTCGCAAGCCACATGTCGTTGTGTTTTTAAACCACTTCTCACGTCGGTCGGTTAAACTTTTTCCGGTTTTCTATTAACCGGTATCAATTGCAATTTTTTGATTATTTAAAACCGGGATTAACCGGATCGGATATAAGGTTTAGCAATATTAACCGAAATCAATTGCAATTTTTTGTGAATATAAGGTTTAGCAGTATTAACCGAAATCAATTGCAATTTTTTGATGTTTTAAACCGGGATTAACCGGATCGGAGATTAGCAAACGCCTCAACAACATTTCAGACTTGGATCTGTTGATTCGAAAGAGAGAGAGATGGCTCGAGCGTGGACGAAGATGATGATGATGATGATTATGATGCTGACGTCGACGATCTCAGCGAAGGAGCAGCTGAGCGGTAAAGAATGCGAGGATCTAGGGTTCACAGGTCTCGCTCTCTGCTCCGATTGCCACTCACTCTCTGAATACGTCAAGGATCAAGGTTCGTTCCCTCATATACGTCTTTGATCTGAGTATACGTTTGATCGATGATTCAGGATGTGTGATTTACAATTTGAAATCGTAAATTGTGGATTAGGAATTGCGATTTTATAGTTGAATTGTGTATTCTGCAGATTTGGTAGCTGATTGCTTGAAATGTTGCGCTGATGATTCTGAGGATTCAATGAGTAAGGTAATGCTGAGAGTTTTACTGAGAATAGTAGATTAGATATGGAGACTGTAATACATTCTTCTCTAACGAGAGTGATGATGATGACGTGTCAGGTTAGTTATTCAGGGGCTATATTAGAGGTGTGTATGAGGAAGCTGGTTTTCTACCCTGAGATTGTTGGTTTTATTGAAGAGGAGAAAGAGAAGTTTCCTAGTGTTAAAGTTCAGTACGTTTTTAACTCACCACCAAAGTTGATTATGTTGGATGAAGATGGTGAACATAAGGAAACTATAAGGTATGAGATTGCATTATCCCTCTTTTGTCCAAATCCTAAAGTAATGGGCCGGTTCGAGTTGACCTGATTTAACCTAATATGTTCATGTTAGCATGGTAGATAAATGTGTAGATGTAAATATCAATAGATCCGTATCAATTTTGCCTCTGGTACATTCTAGTTGTATGATTACTGAAACCCTCCAAATGAGATTGGTTTTTTGGAGTCTTGATGTTGTCAATGAGCATTAGTATTTTTAGTAAATTGAAATTTGTGATGTGTTTGACATATACTTTTAGCAGGAAGAGCTTCACTCCTACAAGGTTGTAACTGTTTCTCTTTGTTTTTTGGTTTTGCTTTTTTTTTTGCAGAATCGACAACTGGAAACGTGAGCATCTACTGCAGTACATGCGGGAGAAGGTGAAGCCTACTTCAGCTAGTTAATGTAATCACTATGTGGTGCTGAATACCTTTGTCAGACGACTGTTCTTATGGTTAAACAACACGTTGTGGTCTTTAGAATCTCCAAGCTATTTGCTCTTTCTGCGTCAGTAGTCTGTATGTTCTGAATCTTAGCAATCTCATTGTTACTGACTTCTGTTCAGTGTGCTTTATGAAAAGTTAATGAGAATGTTGTACTTGGCTGTTAAGTATAATTTAAGTAATGAATGAAGAGATGACATGGGACAATGGATTGTGGTGTAATATTCGTATAGCATAATGTTTTTTTTTCTATGAATCTCATTCAACTATTCATCACTGTCTTCATGTTCCCTTCCTTCTTCTCCTTCCATGTCTGTCTTGGTTTTCAATCTCTGGGGTGATCTCTCAACTGGCTGAAAATAAAAGAAATGAGAAAAAGTTGTAGAAAACTACACTCATAGACCTGAAAAAAGCCAATGAGGGTGAATGGAAACAATAAGATAAATCTTACTGATGTTTGTAAGAGTATCTACAATCTAAATTACTGATGTTTGTGTCCAAGAGTATCTACAGCAAAAACATCTAAGTCAAAGCAAAAGTATCTACAATCTAAATTCTAAAGCAGGTTATCAAAGTCTCAAGAACGTCACATATTTATGTAAGATCAGTAACAAATGTATACACAAGTCTACTTGAACCGTTTGGATTTCAAATGATGAGAGTAAAAAGTTCAATACGAGGAATGGTATCAAGAGAAATCTACAGTTTCTGAAACAAAATGGATTCTCCAAAGCGATTCTTACACCTGGTGCATTTGTTTTGCATTTCTGCTCTAAGATCTAGTTGTAACTGCAACGCTACAAGTTCTCTTCACCAGCTTCTCGAGGTGAACCGTCTAGGTTCTCTGTTGGGTTTGTGGGTTCGGACTCTGTGAGGCCCACTCTAGCCGATAAGCAGTGGCGGACTTTAACAGAGTGGCTTGTCCCTGTAGTTGAGCAGCTTCCTCGAATATTCACCATAAGGACTACTTCTTTATCTCGAGTGTTTTCGGATTGTGGGATACCATCAACATTCTCTTCCAATGTGTGAGATTCTTCGTGATGAACTTTCACATCCACTGCTTCTTCTGGTTTAATTATCCCGGATGCGGGTAAAACCTACAAAAACAAAGATTCTTGAATAAGAAGACTACCTTCGGACCCAGCAAGCCGGATGAAACATTGGCTTTAGATTCCTAAATCCTTTGAAAAAAAATTACATGTATATAGGCTCCTAACAAAAATTAGGCCTTCAAATCCATAAAAAATAGTTCGCTAAAAATCGCCTTACCTCCAAATTCTCAGAGCCAGCCCTGACTACCTTAGATTCATTAGCATTGGAAGAGAGTTTAATACCTGAAGCCAGCGAGGTAGACCAAAGGAGCCACGTGGGTTATAGTCAGACTCTTCTTCTCCATCATCCTTAACTATAACCTGACCACCGCAGAGAATGGTGAAAATGGCTTTGCTTGTGGTTGAACTGTTTGTGATTGTTAAGGTCCCTGTCTCCTGACTCTGAAGTTCAATGTTGTTGGTGCTCAAAGTTGTTTCTGGAACAGATTTTAATTCCTCGAATATGGATATTATCTCTTCGTTGGACTTTATTATATTCCCCAGCTCCTGTCTCCTTACAGATTTATCAACGTGAGCTATAGTCGCATGAAACTTACAGCGTACAGGTTTGTGATCGCTCTCAGTAACATCCATGCAAGCTTCGTACATTATAACCGATGAAACTACAGGACATTGCAAGTTGCACTCTGAGAATGGGGTTGATTGAGTGTCTCTGTATATAACTCTGTCACACCATGCAGGTATACGCTTTTTCTCACCTGAATCATATCCTGGAGAGTACAAAACATAAAGCCTAATGGTTCCCTAACAATGCAGAAAAAAATTTCAAAATATTTGCTTGGAGCTAACTAGGATTTAACTAATTAATATATAAGATATTTGTTAAGAAATGAAGATGGTGGTTGGGACATATCCGGAAATGGACCAGACCACATCAGTCTACTTCAGTCCCAAGACTAGGCGGCCAAGACTTGTCATTATCCTCCCTTGTATTTATCCATATGTTGTAGATATCCTAATCATTATAGGATTAGGATAATCATCCCCTTTATTTGTAGCAATCCTTATCTCCTAA